CAAGGAACGCTTCCTTCCCACTCTGGGACACAGACCCCAGTCTTCTCAGGGACCTGACAGGAGTGGCCAAGGGCTCAAAATGGCACCAGAGTGGGGGCACACTAAAGAACCCTCTAGGTTTCTGGGAACATCTAATTCAAGGACAGTGGCCAGACTAACTCCTTCCACCTATTTTTCACGATAACCCTGCAGGTCAGGAATTTGTATCTCTGTTAATCAGATGAGAAAACGGAGACTCAGAGAGGTAAAGTGACTTGCTCAAGGTTACCCCACTAGTAAACAGTGTCGTGGGGTTTGAAGTCAGGTCTCCCTGATAGACAAGTGGTGTTTCCTAGGTGTCTGGAAGCAGAAAAGACGGGCACCCGGCCAAGCCTGGCTGCAATTCCCTGCATCCTGCCCTCTCTGGATCCTTGCCACCTGTCAGAGCCCTCAAGTCCCACACAAAGGCAGGCATTACACTGTCCATGTTATGACAGGGACAACCAAGGCACACAGAATAATTTTCTAGGCCTGGAATATACAGCAAGTTGTATGGTACATGCTGCCCTGTGCAAGGCAGAGGACGTAGGTCAAGTTAGGATATTCTTGAAAAAACAAAAAACAAAAAACAAAAAAAACCCCTCAAGTATCTCCAGCAGGGGATAAGGGCAGAGGGGTGGATCCCCAGGACTAGGTCCTGTGGGAGGGTCCAAGTCCACCACTGGGGACCCAGCCTCACGGGTCAAATCAGCACAGGTCTTTAGCCCAGCCAGGCTGTATCTGAACCTGCCCTCCCCTGCCTTCCAGCATCTTCTCCCAGCTGCCCTCAGGCATGAGATCTCCTCAGAAACATGAACCCCAGACAGGTCAATGGATGCAGCCGTTTTTCCCCAAGCTCCTCTGAGTGAAGTTCCCTGTCTTATTCCTAAAGGGAATTTGCCCAGAACCTCAGTCGGAATGATTCCCACACGGCCCCTGGCTCAGGTTGCAGGATCAACTTTCCTTCCCCTCTTGCCGTGTGTGAAACCCTGTAAAGGGCCCTTTGTGCAAGGGCCACGATGATATAACGATCTGAGTGACAGCAGCACAAAGGAGAGACGAACCCGTCAGCTAGAGAAAGGGCCGATAATTCATAAGCCTGAGAAAGAGCCAGGAAGGTAAAACTCTAGGTCTCATTAAAATACCCCAACGCCCCCAGCCATCGAGGCAGCATTGAGAACTGCTTGTCCTAGGAGAGCTCGCCCTGGAAAAAAGGCGGCCTCAGCTGACGCCAAGAGAGGAGCTCATTATGTGTTTTCTCTGGCTGGGTTTCTGAGCTGGAAAATGTGCCGCAGAGGAAAGAAATAATGAAGGGGCTGAAATTTCAGACACCACCAGCGAGCCGTGAGACAGGGATTTAGAACAAAGCAGTGTCTGTCAGCTCCCTGTTTCCACCCCCTACGCCCCAGTGTCTTGTACCATTAGCCTTTGAGCCCCTTGAAGCTCCAGCTTGGCAGCCCGGATTGGGGTGTTGATAACAAACCCGCTGGAAGCTCTTGGTGACAGTGGGAGGGCCTCCTTTATCTCAACACACAAAAACACGGCCCTGGGCTCAGGTAGGAGTGAGACCTGGAGGTCTGCCCATCTCTGCTCAGGCCCTGAGGTGTGGGGACCCCAAAGGAGAGGCACCTGGGTTGCTGAAGAGAGATTTCCGGGCTTGGCCGTCAGGAGACCCAGTTTTTAATCCTGGCTTTGCCACTTACTGGTCTCTCAGCCTCTATCGATAATTCTGTAAAATGGGAAAGATCCATTCAATGCATATAGCAAGGACTGCTTGTGAGAATGTGACCTGGCACATTCCAGGCATTTCTTAAATCTCCCTCTGTCTGTTCACTTACCAGACTCACAGCATTTGTGTGCCTGGCCCTGCTATAAGCACTTTCTGCTATCAATTCATTTACTCATACAACCTGACGAGGTAGACAGTACTATCAGCAACTCATTTTATAGATGAGGAAATTGAGGTACAGGGTTAAGTCATTCCACCGAGTCACACAGCCTAATGAAGAGAAAAGCCAGAATTGAACCCTGCTAGCCCTGCTTCAGAGTCTGTGCTCTTTGGCATCACACTGCACCAGGCTTTCTTTCCCCCTGCTGGTAAAAGGCAACGTGTCCAAAACTTCATGTGCCGGTGTCACTATGTTCCTCTCTTGGGGAGTAGGGGGGTGGGGGGAAGTGCAGCGGCAGCAGCTGGAAGGAGGCAGCAGCCAGGTTCCCAGCTTCACTCAAGAAAACAGGCAATTGCCTGCGGCCTGATTTCTATGAGTCTAAGAACACCCATCAGGATGCGCCAGCGTCTTCCTCACCCAAAGGCTCGGAAAAGTGGGTGACCACATTGTGCCACACAGCCTAGTGGATGAGTGAGGGGGAGGCAGGAGGTCTGAGGCCCTTGCTTCCCCTCCCTCTGGACTCTGCTTGCTCACCTGGAGCCCGACACTGTCTGCCTGACCGCCTTTGATGAGGTGGGAGATGAAGAGCCCACAGGCAAACTCCAGGCCACCACGCACGCTCAAGCCGAGGCCTTCGGGGTGCAGACGGTCCAGACGCACCTCCTTCAGCTTCCTGCCACACAGGAGAGGTCGGTGATGGTGCAGCCTGGCTGCCAGCACTGCCCCGTCCACTAGCGAGGAACTCCGTCCATCCCAGGGTGACCTCTCCACCCCCTGCCTCCAGCCTGGTGGCTTCCGCTGCACCTGGAGCGCCGGGGGGTCAGCTGATCATATTCCACCTGGTGCTTCAGTGGGATCAGGGGCCGAATGGCATCAAACAGAGGCAGGCGGCTAGGTTCATTGATGACCAGCTTCAGGTCTCCCACGAGCACGGCCACGTCCATGGTCCTGTGGAGATGCCGGGAATGCCTGGAGCCTCACCCCTGGCCATGACCTCAGGGACCCAGGGATTCCAAGAGGAAGCCATTTCAGCCACTGGGCCCAGGCTTAGGAATGGAAGAGACCACTCCTGAAAAGCCCAGAGCCCTTCACACTGGGCCAGTGCCTGAGAAGGCTTTGTTCTCTCATAAAAATGCCCCCAGGAAACCAGCCCGCTAGGGATTGTTGACCCATTTTGCAGATGAAATGAAGCCAGGATTTCAAATTCAGCGTGCCTATCTCTGATGTTGGGATCTTTCCAGAGGGGAAAGTTCTATGTGAGATGCTAAGGACTCCTCACATACTCATCATCTCCACTTGTATCTACTGCTAAGCTCTATCAGTTTCACCTCACCACAGTTCACGTGCCTCCTCCCTCACGCTGTTCAGACCTTCGACTCCAGCTGCCTGCCCACATACTCACTGTCATTTCATCTTTTCTCAGTGTAAGGCACTCCCTGGCTTAAAACCCTTTGATGGCTCCTTACTGCCCAGAGGACAAAGTCCACTCTTTTCAGCATGCTCAGGGCCCTCCATGACCTGTCCCGTGGAGCTTCTCCAGCCTTGTGGCTATTTACGATCTCTGTGTCCTCCCAAGTCCTACTCCCCCAGGTTACTTATCCCCATTCACACCCTTGCTTTCGTGCCTCCACACTTTGGCTAATGCTGATCCCTCATTCTGGAATGCCCTTCTCTGATATTCCACCTACCCAAATCTTTTTCTTTTATTATTTTTTTGAGACAGGGTCTTGCTGTCTTGCCCAGGCTGGAGTGCAGTGATGCGATCATGGCTCACTGCAGCCTTGACCTCCTGGGTTCAGGTGATCTTCCCACCTCAGCCTCCTAAGTAGCTGGGACTACAGGCACGCACCACCATACCCAGCTAATTTTTTGTATTTTTTTGTAGAGGTGGGATTTTACCATGTTGCCCAGGCTGGTCTCTAATTCCTGGGCTCAAGTAATCCTCCTGCCTCAGCTTCCCAAACTTCTGGGATTACAAGCATGAGCCACCGTGCCTGGCCCCAAATCTTTCTTATCCTTCAAAGCCTTGCTCAAGCCTTCCTGGTCCTTTCTCTTCCCTCTCAGTTGGAAAGGAAAACTCCTTTCTTCACATTTCTGCTTTTACCTCTACTTAGCAGTTATTTGATATAACTTACATTAGAGTTCTTTGTATTTGTAGTGTACATTCATCTCCCCTCACCAGACCACAAGTTACTCAAGGAAAGAAAGAGGATCTAATTCATTTCCAGATTTTGCATAGTGCCCAGCAGTGGCAGGAGCTTATAAAGTATACAAAATGAATCAAAAAGCAAGTGGGTGATCAGAGACATCTGATGCAAGGGCTGTGGCCAGTTGGCATTTCTTGTTCTGTTCCAACAATCACTCTCTGTTGAATCTATCTGGCTACTAGACAGCCTACTCCATCAGACTGTAAGCAACCTGAGAACAGAGACCAATCTGTCTTGCTCACAAGTATACCCCAGCCCCTAGTACAAAGCCAAGTACAAAGTACTTGTATAAATAGTTGCTGAAATGAGTGAATGCTATGTCCATTTGATTTCCAGGAGCAGTCAGCATCCACCCTCTGAGCTCCTCTGTCTCAGAACAACCCATCCCAGGACTCCCTGAAGACAGAGGAACCCGAGTGGTCCACAGGAGCTGGACCTAGCACACTTACTGGTGGTACATTCGCAGCACATCATAGAGATAGTCCTTCTCTGCATCATTTTCAATCAGAAAATCCACCTGAAAAATCCAATAGGAGAATCACAGTTCCAGGCTCAGCACCCTCCATAGCAGACCCCAGGGAGGAGAGGTCACCCCCAGCGGCCTCCCCAGCATCTTTTCAGGGCTGGAGTTGTGAGGAGAGGAGAGAAGCCACAGGCCAGACTGCCCCTCTGACTCCAATGCATGAGACCTATGCAGACCACCCCAATGTGGCCACAGGAGTACTGCTGCCCCTCCAGATGTGGCCAGGCACCCCTCGTCCCCAGGTGGGGCAATATGTGCACACACGGGGATGCACACACATATGTACATATGTGAATCCCCATGTGATACGACACGCTGCCATGGCAGTGCTGCTGCTCACCCCCATGGCTGTGTCATCCCTGGCCAGAAGAAGCCCACTGTCTTACCTGATGGTGGCTGTAGTGCCGGATAAATGCTTTCAGGAAGGATTTGGGCCACTCGCTCAGATAGCACATGCCACCCGCCAGAAGCCCCTTACTACCGAATTCTTCTGTAACATCAATGCCAGGGGACCTTCACTCTGTCTTGTCCCGACCTTAGCTGGGTTGCCCTGAGTTCTGTCCACTAGTCAGTTTCCTGGCCACTCCTTCCCCCTTCCCAGGCCCCTGCACAAGCCCTGCAGGGGGAGTCAGGTTACATCATTTCAACTTTGTTGACGTCAATGGCTGGGACTCTAAGGTCAGGTTCAGGAGTTGTGTCATTAGCACTTCGATCCCAGTGGGAGGCCCTGAATTCCACTCCCTGAGTCACATCAGTGTGACTCTCTACCCTGTATCTTTGGGTCTCTCTTCAGCCCCAGAATGGGTAACAGAGCAAGATGGAAGCTTGAGGGGTCACTGGGTCCCTCTCTCCTCCAGCCTCTGGGCCCAGGGCCTCAGCCCTTCATAGAGAGGCTGCTGTTGGAAGTTGCATGCTCTCCACTGACTGGTCCTCAGAAGAGGGCCAGAGCAGCGTTACCTCTTTCTGTGGGTATCCCAAGGGCTCTGGAAGACCAGGGCAGTCTGTCTGTCCCACTACAGAGGGGACATGCTGGGCCTAGCCCTTGGGATTTCTGGCCCGAACAGGCACTACAGAATGCAAATTTCTGGCCTGGATCTGGCAGTACTTCCTTCCCTATAAAATCAGGCTGAGCATTTCATTAAAGGTGAGAATAACTTAGGAGGCTTGACTCACAGCTTGGGTTTCAGTTGCTACAGAAGTTCAGCCCACCTGCTCCAAAAGGGCACCCTTGCTTTCTCCCTACCTCAGTGCAAGGAGTTCCCAGCTAGGGCTAGGCGCGGTGGCTCACGCCTATAATCCCAGCACTTTGGAAGGCCGAGGTGGGTGGATCACTTGAGGTCAAGAGTTTGAGACCAGCCTGGCTAACATGGTGAAACCCTGTCTCTATTAAAATACAAAAATTAGCTGGGCGTGCTGGTATGCTCCTGTAATCCCAGCTACTTGGGAGGCCAAGGCAGGAGAATCACTTGAACTCGGGAGGCAGAGACTGCAGTGAGCCAAGATAGCGCCACTGCACTCTAGCCTGGGTAACAGAGCGAAACACTGTCTCAAAAAAAAAAAAAAAAAAAAAAAGGAGCTCCCAGCTAGTTGACAGGAGATGGAAGCATCTGCTTGAGTGGGTGGTACTAAATCTTAGGGTGGGAGGCTGGCCTCTTGCATGCACCACCTCTGAAAGCCCATCTCTCTACATAGCATGGATTCTCTCACCCACTCTGCTTAGGCCTGTGGGGTGGGGGTGCCTCCCTGAGACAGGCCTGGGCTGCCCACACTGGACTGTGATGGAGGAGTCTGAACACTCCTAGCAGCAGGGGCCAGAAATATCTTTATAAATTAAATCATGTCGCTTGCTTGTTCAATAGTTTCTTGTACCCCAAACCAAACCTAAATCCAAACTCCTTACCTTGACTTATCAAAGCCAAATCTCCTTTCCTACCAGTCTTCCTGGCTACAAAGGCCTCCTTTCAGTTCTTTCCACAAGCCGAACGCTCTCCAGCCTCAGGGCCTTGGCGTGTGCTGTTCCCTCTGCCTGGATTGCTTCCCCCACTTCCCTGCCTGGCTGCCTCCTTTCCAGAGAGGTCTTCCGTGCTCACCTACCCGGACAGAACCCACTCCTGCACCCCGGAGATGTTTCAATTCCATCAAAGATCAAAGATGATTTGTAATTTAAGGTTTATTTTCTCTGTGAATTGTTTTCTCTGTCTCCTTTGCTGGACAGAAAAATCCCATGAGGAGAAAGATGAGGTCTATTTTGTTATAAATTCCTCGTGCCTACCACATAGTAAGCACTCAGTAAAGAAGTATTGAATGAATTTCTCTGCCTGCCTCCTGGTGTGCCCACATGGTTCAGGTGGGAGGGAGGTAACCATGGGAACAGCAGGGGAAGGGAAACGATGTTGCCCCCATAATCCCCCATGCGGTGGCACCAGGAGCTTTTCATGGGCTTTATTCCATTTGTTTATCACATTGGGACCAATATTCTCACATCATGTTGCAGTTGAGGAAACTGAGGATCAGAGACGTTAAGTCAACTCACCCAGTGTCCCACAGCTAATAAGCAGAGCTGGGATGTGAACCCAAGTCTGACTCCAAAGCCCATGTTCTTTCTGCTATGCCACGACCATTGATTGTGACTCAGGCCTGGTAGGGGAAAATAACTCCCAAGGTCCCTTTAAGCCAAAATTTCAAACCCTTTGCTTTCAAGAACTCCTTTCCTATCTCTAAGCCCCATCTCTCTCCTCTGTACTGTTAAGAAAATACCTTTGGGTTGGTCTATAATGAGTGAGAAAATGAGACATCTTTTGAATGACTCTTTGAACCCAAGTGTTCTACTTTCTAAAGGGAGCATAAAAATCCCATCTGCTTTGGCTGGAGTGAGGACACCCTGACCAAAGACTTCTAGCCCAATTCTAACCCCGGGTGGTAACACAAGAAAGAAGATGGGAGAGGGAAACTCTTACTGACTGAGGCCTTAGGACTGAAGTTCTCTCTTATCCCTCTGCAGAAATGTATCCTACTGTAGCATTAGATTTCAATAGTGAGGAACTGTCCTCCTTAGACCATGTTTATTGTGCATTAGGTGGAAAATTGAGGTAGAAGAGTAAGGTAACTTGCAATGTTAGGGTCTAGAGTTCTGTTTTTCTCCCTTCCCTGGGGCAAGTACAGATCATTTGGAGACGGTCTTGGTGGAAAACAACCTGTGTCTGCAGGTCCCAGGCTCCTGGCCCTTGTCAGCAGCCCTCCAGCACTGACCACTGCTCCCAGAGGTCTCATCCTACCTGTCTCCCGAGACAGCTGCAGAGCTCAGCTCTTCAGCCTCATGTCTACCCACTGTCACTGGTTAGGTCAGTCAAACCCTGTCCTCAGTTCTGCCCTTGCTCACTTCTCCAGGGTCAGCTCCACCACATCCCAAGTGGGACTCAGCTGCAGTGGAACAGATCCTTCCCCTGATACACTGAAATCTCCTTGTCCTCACTCAGAACATTCCATCTACTACCATGTCTGACTTGTCCATTTGAACAATTCTCTATAGACCATAATAGCTAACAGGGAAAATAGATCTGGTTTATGTAGAATACTCTTTACATATGGATCTAAGTGATAAATCATCAAAAACTTGAAAACTAGTTACACAGGAGATCCTGCAAAGGGAGAGATCATTCTCCACCCAGAAATATCTTAGAGAGACTCAGAGAGAACAGCACTGCTTTGTTCTCTGACCACACCTGAATGAAAACACACACTCGCACCTCACTCTTCAGGCAAAAGGCACCAAGAAAGAAAACTGAGAAAGATGGAAGTTTCTCTAAAGCCTGAACGTGCAGTAACAATACCACCATTACTTAAATTACTTTTTCTTTGTAATCTTCCCTGTGGTCCAAATCAAATTACTTTTCCAATATTAAAAAATTACATAGTGTCCTCTCTTCTGGAATGCTGCCAGCACCAACCTGGGGGTCAGCTTTGGGGAGCCCCTGCTCTAGGGTGCTTTGTACCATTCTCCCAGTACCCTGTGCTCAGGTACATACAAAGCGCCAGGCACGCAGTAGGTCAGTCTCCCACACTCCTTTCTTCCTTCCTTCCAAACATGTTCTTCGTTTCCCCGTGGAACCCAGAACCATGTCATGCACACAGGCGCACGGTGCCCAGTGGCGTCTGTTGATGAAACATGAACTCTATTTGCTCTAGTCTAGAGCCTTTTTTCTGACCTGTTGGCCCAGGCCTGGGTCACCACCTTTCCATTGGTCCTCAGCACATACATTCTGGGTCTGCCTCCCCTTAGTTCACTTCCAATTCATCACAAAAATGTATGTCCCAGCAATTCCATCTATCCACAATGGATGGCTTCCCTCCTCTCATGTGAACCCTGCCTTCATTTCAGATGAGGCCCAAGTCCCCTCTTCCAGAGTCCAGAGCTTCCTCACCTGCCTCCCAGCCTAAGGCTCTTCCTGTCTGGCTCACTTATCCCAGCCAGCCTCTCCCTACTGACTGTCCACTGCCTGAGGAACTTTACGTGTATTATCTTTAATCTCCTAACAACCCTCTGAGGTGAACGTTATCATCCCCATTTTACAGATGAGGAAATAGAGGCTCAGAGAAGTGACAGAACTGAGACTCCAACCTACGCCTGCTGGCTCCAAAACCTCTGCTGTTTTTCAAACTACCACATGGCATCCATTTATCAAATATAACTCCTTTGTTTTGCACTTGTCCATTACACATTTATTGAACACCTACTATGGGAAAGACACCAGTCTTCTTTCTCCGACTAGATTTAGAAAGCCTTTCCTTTTCCCAGATCCCTCTTGATATAGAGCACAGAAGCCCTAAAGGAGCTCACCATCTACAAATAGCTGTTGGGGATCTCTATGATCATCCCTGCTCCCCCGACCCCCGCCGCAGGCCCTGCCTAGATGAGCATTCGAAGACTGATGTTCCTCTGGCACTGTGCTATCGGTCTGTATGGGAGGAGGGGACAGGGAGCTTCTCCACCCTCACAATCTTCAGGCCGCTTGTCTAGGATATTGGAGGCAAAACCTGGGTTTGGTCATGTGGTGCCCTCCAGTCTCATCCCCCAGTATTCCCCCATATGGACTGACGCTTCAGGATAGCTGCAGAGGGGAACCATGGGACATTTAACTCAGGCAAATTCAACTTTAGGTATGCACCCAGCCAAACAGGGAGAAAGAGAGTCAGAACAAATTAAATAATGCATGTTGTTCCACTTGATGAAGTCTCCTTGGGCTGTGGTGGGGATTAAATGAGTGAGTAAATGTAAAGTATGTATAACAATGCCTGGGACATTTCAAAGTCTCCAAAATGTGTGCTAGATCTTTTCCTTTCATGCCTCCAGCCATCTCTATCTTGCCCTTTGTCCAGGGGGCTCTGTCTGGGCTCCCCTCCCCTCTGGTTTCCTGCTTTGTTCAGCCATCAGGAGGTACAAGCAGGAGATGAGAGGAATGGGGAGACAGGAACTGAGGCTCTTAGTCCCTGGTGGCTGGCTGCTGGGCCACAGTTAGGCAGGTTCCTCCGCCCAAGGCTGCAG